TCGAATAGAACAGTCCATAAAAGGCTGTAAACAACTCGAAAAGGGTGAAAAACGGCCACCGTTCCGATAATCATTTACGATGCAGCCTAAAACGGAGAAATACTGTTATAAACGACATCCGTTACGATTATCGTTTAGTGCTCAGCAGAAATGACTATTTTCCCGACCGCCAGTTTTACTCCGTTTTCAAGTCATTTTCTCGTGGAATCAAAAAGTATCTTATAAACATCATTAGATATTTCCTGAGAATATTTGGTAGATAAATCTTAATGATCTTATTCATCATTCGTGGTTAAGCCAATTTCTAATGTTTAATGGAAATGTTTTACTGAGATTGGACTGCACTTGGCTCTTTTTTTTTTCTTAAATTTTGTTTTTCTTCGTTAATATGAAACTTTAATTCATTTTTTTGAGTCAGTTTAAGCATTGATGGATAAATTTAGTTGAGATCTATTTGATGATATGACGTACGCTGTATAAAAATGTCTTTATCTCTTATGACATGTTGATTGATATGATATTAATATTGAATTATCAAATGTACGCATCTTCTTCGTTCGTCATTTGCTTTCATAGATAAGCTCTATCGATGATAGAACCCATTTTTTTATCCTCTAGATACGTAGTAAGAAATTTATTCAACTTTCATTGATGTTACTCATCGCATATCGGAAAAAAACAGCTCGTAAATGCTAAAAAACGTCGAAAAACAACTCTAATGAATTACTTGATAAAAAATACATCCTTGAAATTATAGTTTTATTTTATTAATGAACTACTTTATCTAAAAAGATGTTTAATGATAATTTTACGCAAACTATGTTTGATTATTGCGTCTGTGTGCTCCCCTTTTTCCATACATCTACTTTGGATGTAGCTTGTGACGATAACTTCGCATGTAGAAACGCTATTTATTGTAATGAAATGCTTTGTATCATAATAGAAAGTATAGGTAGGATGCCGTGTGAGTAATAAAAATGAATCGCTCGTGACAGAAAACAATGTAAATACGAGAGCATACGGTCCTAATACTATGTATCGGTTTTTGACTGAAATGATCCTAAACGGTGCCATTTAGGTTTCGGTGAAAAACTGTTCGTAATCCGAGCTGCAAGAAAACGTTTCAAAAACGGTGATTACTTCAGAGAGTCTAAATGATCGTCTTGAGTGAAAAATAAGCATGGAAACGCGAATGTTGCCAATATATTATACCAGACATTATTGTTTGTTCAACATCTTTTGTGATATCATTCCACGATTCACTTTTTTTCAGGAGCATTTTGTAGTAACATTGATTGTGAATAGCCTAGTTCTACTTCTGGTGTTACACAATATTCACTATGATTTTAATGAATATAAAAACACGAAGAAATTCATTTTGATAATTTGTTAACCTAATATTAATAATAAAGTCAGCGATATAATCAATCATTTTGTTTACGACGACAATGAAATTCTTCGTCATCTATATTCAATACGAATGAATTAAACTTGAATTTACTGAATGTTGATTCATTTTGAACTTTTGATTTTGATAATAAGTCAACATTGTATTTATTTCATCTTTCATCGACACCAAAAAATAAATATCATTAGTACTTAAAATAAATGAATTGTACTTTATACTGAATATCATCATTGTCAAACGCACATAATGTGTTATTCTATACATAATGCAAAATTTTCTTTAATCGTTTTTGTTTGTAACAATACAATATTTTCAACAATAAAAATAGAAAACAATAATCGTATGTTCGATGTTTTGACTGATTGATTGAGTTATAGTCAAAAATGGCTGCAGGGAATAAAGATGAGTGCATTCGTATGTATAACTATAATTTACTTGATAGAGAACAATCAAAGGATACTTTTCTAGAATATAAATGCACGTCAGTTTGCGTCATCTTTTGATTTAAATATTAAAGTAGTTTAAATGATAATATCCTAATACTTATCTCGATTGATATTCAAAAATACATACTATGTAATCAACGTGAACAAAGATATCAGAACGTCAGAATTTTATTACGAATTACTCTATCAACTTCATCAATTCCAAGCGATATCAAAGTCTTTTGTCAACGTTGTATCTTTCAAAAAAAAATATTATTACAAAATATTTTCAGATATTTTCTGTATTATCTTTGATTTGGGTAGCGTTTATAAATATCTTGAAAAGATGAAAAAGTTCAATGTATCCAAATGTGTTGAGATCTTCAATTGATCGAAACGCTTTGTGCTTGTTAGAAGCAATGAATATTACAAATCTATAAAAACAAAAATAGAGTTATAAATTTAACATAAAGAATTATGTTAAATTACAATATGGAACTGTCTGATTGTCGTAATATGACTTGATGATACTCATTGTCAATTGTTGCATTAATATTGCTCTTGAAAACTATTGAGAATGTAAACAAAGATAATTTTTATGTGAATTATTCATCACCAAATCTCGTTTAATTAAAGGTTTCTATACAGATAGAAAAAATCTTCAAGATCAGAAAATTTATTCACTAATAATAATCATTCATATCTCACTGCATAACGTTTTTTTTTAAATATCAAATCTTTCTTTCACCTGTTAACTCGACTTGTAACCATAGTGACTAAGAATTCCTGTGAAGAATAGAATCTCAAATGCATGGAGAGTGTCATGTACATAAATTTTTTCGTTATTCAACCTTTTTTTCTGTTCATTTCAAGAAATCTACCTTTGTTATGAATGGCTCGTTTTAACCAAATAGTCTGACTTGTCTGATGAGTCATTTCATACTGTCAATCGTTGACGCACGTGTATATAAATGTTATTGCATATATATTAGGAAATACCCTTGTTTTTTTTTATTGTATTTTCAATAGTTATGTAAAATAAAAATTAATTCTTTTTTTTGAAATTTTTAGACAAATATGGACGCGATAGAGTTAGCTCTTCGCAAATGTCTACATGTTCTTGTCTCATCAAATACAATTACTGAACGAAAGGTAGAAGAATCTATTGAAAAAACAAAAATTCATTTTTTATTTTTAAATTTTAGAGAAATGTCGAAACATTTATTGAATTACTTAAAGATAATCGAATACATGATTTACTTGATGATGAAAATCAAGATGAAAATACTACAAAACGTTCAATAACATGGAATGAAATGTTTGATGTTCGTTTAATCGTTTTCTATTCTTCGTCTTCTTCTTCTCTTTATTATTTTGTCTAAAAATTTCAGACTATTCGAGAATATACGATCAATGAATTGGCTAATATTCGAACAAAATCAACAAAAACTTTATCATCAGATATCAAATATCAAGAAGCACTTAAATTATTTAAAACTCTTATAGAAAATGCCAATGCACGTATGTATTAAAATCTTACTATGAAAAATAATTAAAAGAAACAAAAATTTTCTTTAAGGTGCTCCTGAACTTGATGGTCGTCCTCTTATTGAATCAATTATTTCAATAATAACTAGTGAAGTATGGTTATCATGTTCAATTGTAATCAAAGAACTTAGTCATTTATTAATTAATAATGTTCTTTGTTTTCATAAATATGTCAATGAATTACGTGAACAAGAATGGATTGGTAAAAGAAAATAATTATACGTGTATATATATATATATAT